GACACTTCGGAGCATCCAAATCACACCATAGCATATAATCCGAAACTATACCATGGCATACCATAACATAGCATGACACACACACACACACACACACACCACACACACCATAACGCAGCATCACATCACACATACCATTACATGTATCATCGCAGCACGTATGACCATTCATAACAAAGACAGCTCGGCGTGATATGTAGCATCATATCATAACGCAACATATCATGGCACCACAATATATGGCATGATGTATCATACACAACGGCACAACACCTCATATCATAACATCACATAACAGAGCATACCACAACATATCATGACATAACACATCGCAACATGGCACACCATGGCAGAACACATCACACCGTAGCAGATCATCAAACCACATAGCATTCCATATCATTTCAAACGCGACGTGCGCACGGTTTGGAGCAAACACCGAAGGTTTCGGTCCCTGGCGAGCGCGCAAAACAACTAATTACAAGGGTGGCCCGAAAGATGCCTGAGCTGACTCACCAGTCGCTCCGAGTTACTTCAGGGAGGAAGCGTTCAAGGATCCGCCCTCACCCCTCTCCCCCCCGTAGCCCCACCCAGGGACCCCCGGGGCCCCCCCGCCGCCACCTGGGTCGGTTCACCTTCTTTCGGGCTGCAGCTGGGAGAGCCCCAGTGGCCGCAGTGAAAGTGGGATGGCCGCCCCTGGCTTATGATATTGGAGGGGTTGGTTTTCAGCGGTGCGACACAGTGGCGTGCTTTTCGGGCCCCGCTTGGGGTCGTCTTGGGGGCCTCTTTGGCCCCTCTTGGGTGTCTATTGGGTCGTCTTTGGCTGGTTCTTGGGCCATCCTTGGGTCGTCTTGGACGCTCTTGCGACCGATGTGGTGAGAGTGTGAAGGTCACGCAGAAGCTTATGGCTTTGCAGCTTTGGGCCTCTTAGGTTGGCCCCCCGGGGTCCAGGACCTGCAGGATGGCCCGCGAGACTTCCAAGAGTGCCGCGGTTGGTCCGTGGCCGTTTTGGCTCAAGATTTATTACTTGCTGCCAGCTCCTTCTGCGAAGGCGACCAACCCTGCCATCAATGACCTCGGCCATGGAGCTCGCGGAGGTCGGCGGCGAGGCGAGCGGGTCGGAGCAGTTCCTGGTCCAGGACGCTCGCGCCCAGCGCTCGCCTTGGCGAGCGGCGGGCGGCGCCGCCGCGGGGCTCCTGCTCCTGGCCGGCGCAGGCGGGGGGGCGGCGCACTTTGCGCTGCGCGGGGCGGCCTCGAGCGTGGGCCCCCGCGAGAGCAAGCAGCAGACGATCGCCTTTCCCGCGCGCGACCAGTGCTCCAACTGGGACGAGGATTGCTACAGCAAGGGGTGCTGCAACGTTGCGGGCCTGACGTGCTTCGAGACCAAGCCAGGGAAGGGCGAATGCCTGAAGAATTGCACGCCCAGCGATTCCAAGCTCTGCAATCAGCCGCAAGCGATCATGGAGCCGGTCTTGGCGGATGCTGTCCTGTACGACCCGACGCTGTATTGTTTCGCAATCGTTATGCAGGACATCGGCAGCACGAAGAAGTACTACGACCTGGAGCTTCTCCAGGGAGCGTATGCGAAGGGGACCACCATCTTTGGTTGTGATTCTTGGGGGGTGTTCAGCGACGCAGACGCCGAGCTTGCGCCTGGCGTTCCTGTCACGAAGGTGGATGACGTCGACGGGGACTTCCACTTCGCGAAGCGGGAAGAGACAGGCACCTGGCTGAACACAGGCCTGCACTACCAGGCTTGGAAGGCCATTCAGGCGGAGGGCAAGTACGCCGCTGCCAACTGGGTCGTGAAACTCGATGCGGACGCGGTGATGATCCCGAGCCGCTTGAAGTATTGGCTGTCGGACAAGTACGTCCCGCCCGCTGGTATCTACCTGGAGAACTGCCAGTACGTCAAGTATGGTTGGTTCGGCAGCCTGGAGATCTTCTCGAAGGTCGCGTTCGAGACGCTCCTGGGGTCGATGGCCTCGTGCAAGAACGGCGGGATCGACTGGAAGGTGGGCATCGATGGCGGCAAGTACGGCCCCATGGGCGAGGATCTGTTTGCGCAGGCCTGCCTGGACGCGAACGGCGTCAAGCGCGGGATCGGATACGGCTCCAAGCTGGACGGGACGTGCGAGGCGGACCGGCCCCTCTCGGAGAAGAAGAACAAGAAGTGGAAGCCCAACTGCGACACCGTCGCCACCACGACGTACCACCCGCTCATGAAGCCGGAGGACTACTGGGCGTGCTACGAGGCCACCATGAAGGCGTTCCCGGTGTATCCGCCCCCCTGATCTCGGCTGCGCCCTCCCCCCCGGCGCCTCGCGGCCCTTCGCCCCCTGAGGCGCCCGCCGCCTTGCCTGCCCGCCACGGCCCGCCCCTCCCCACGTCGGGCGGTGCGGTGTCGCGAATTCGCGAGCGGAGTGTTGGGCGATCATCATGCTCACTCCTACCCGCGACCGTGAAGCGTCGAGAGTCGAGCCGGGCGCGTGTGCGCCCGTGCGAGAGTGAAAGGAGGCCTTGCCCGACGCTCTTCTGTCCCCGCAGCCGCGCCCAAATCAGCACGGCGGCGCGCCCATGTTGACAGGACGCCACGAGGTCGAGAGGTCGAGCCGAGTTTCCGGGCTCCTGTGCGAGAGGCGCAGTGGCTTGAAGCAGTGGCTGGAGCTCTACGTAGGATGTCAGTGGCGTTTGTAAGGGCGAATTGAGTTTACTAAACCCTGTGGTCGAGAGGCGTCGCCCTTCCAGCGGATGCAATTTGTTTTCCATTAAAAAATCACGGGGCACGCTCTGTGTCCTGTTGTATATGCATGTCAGTGCTAGCTCGATGTTGCCCGTTCCTCTTGCCCTCGCCCCCCGTCCGTCGCCGAGCAGCACAGGCTGCACTTCTCGGGCTGCACTTGCCGGGAGGCGTCCCCTCCCCAGGCCGCCCCAGCCGCCGAGACTGGCCCTGCCGGTGCCCCGGCGGGCTTGCCGAGGCCGGCCCCGAGGGTGCTCCGGCGGACCTGGGTGGCCCAAAAAGATGGCCCGCGCTGACCCACAGATCGCGGGGACCGGTTTATGGGCCCCGCGTCCCCACGGCCGGATTCCCGTCGAGCTTTTTGTTAAAACGCAACCCTGGAGAGTGCTGGGGGTTTGTTCCCCACCCGGCAGGTTGGGGCCGTTAGATTTTCAGAACAGAACTCTCGATCTGTCCACTCTGCATTGCCAGATCCCCGGGCCCCCCGAGTGCCCCCGAGAGTCCCGCCTCACGCCAGTTTGCATACCGCGGCCGTCAGATCACCAGGTGCCCCGAGTGTGTCCCCGAGAGTCCCGCCTCGCGCCACTCTGCATACAGCGGCCGCCAGCGCCGACTCGCCCACTCGGCATACCGCGGCCGCCAGATCCCCAGGGCCCCCGAGTGTCCCCGAGTGTCCCTCCTCATGCCACTCGGCATACCGCGGCCGCCAGCACCCGAGGTTCCCCTAGTGTCCCCGAGTGTCCCGCCTCGCGCCGAGAAATCATAACATGACAGAGCGGCATTAAAATATAATATAGCATAGTGCAGCGCAACACTACAAGACATGGCAGAGTATAGCATAGCACCACACCACCTAAAAAAACATGTCCGAGCATGCCATACCATAGCATGACATACCACATCTTAACACAACACACTATGGCAGAGCAGTGCATGCCATACAGCATAACAGCACAGCTCATACCATAATACATCATCGCACAGCTGAGCATACCAAAGCATAACAGGTCACTGCTTCATATACCATGGCATATCATTTCATAGCACAACGCAGCATGGCACCGCATGCCATGACTCATCGGAGCATCCATAACATACCGTAACACATACTCCGATGTTATACCATGGCATGACATACCATAACATAGCATGACACACACACACACCCACCACACACCATAACGCAGCATCACATCACACATACCATTCCATGTATCATCGCAGCACGTATGACCACTCATAGCATGACAGTGCTCGGCATACTATGTAGCATTATAACATACCACAACCTAGCATGGCATCATAAGCTATGACATAATGTATCATACAGAACATAGCATAACACCATATCTCAAAACATCACATAACATACCATACCACAACATACCATGCCATAACACATCATAACCTTACACACCATGGCAGAACACATCACACCGTAGCACATCATCAAACCACATAGCATTCCATATCCTTTCAATCGCGACGTGCGCATCGTTGGGAAGAAACACCGAAGGTTTCGGTGGGGATCGCTCGCAGCAACATGATTTACGAGAGGTGGCCCGAAAAGATGGCTTGAGCTACTCACAGATCGTCCGAGTCACTTCAGGGAGGGAGCGTTCAAGGAGCCGCCTCCCCCCTCTCCCCCCAGACCCCCCCCAGAGACCCCCGCCGACCCCCCTGACCCCCTCCGGGACCCCACCCCCCAGGACCCCCCCCTCTGGCGGGGAAGGGTGGACAGGGAAGGGGCTTCCCCTCGACTCGATTGCGACCTGGGTCGGTTCACTTCGGGCTGGCGAGCTTGGAGAGCTCCAGTGGCCGCAGTGGAAGTGGGATGGCCGCCCCTGGCTGATGATATTGGAGGGGTTGGTTTTCAGCGGTGCGACACAGTGGCGTGCTTTTCGGGCCCCGCTTGGGGTCGTCTTGGGGGCCTCTTTGGCCCCTCTTGGGTGTCTATTGGTTCGTCTTTGGCTGGTTCTTGGGCCATCCTTGGGTCGTCTTGGACGCTCTTGCGACCGATGTGGTGAGAGTGTTGAGGTCACGCAGAAACTGATGGCTTTGCAGATTTGGGCCTCTTGGGTTGGCCCCGGGATTTTGGGGGGGGGGGGGGGGGGGGGGGGGGTGGGGCCAGGACCTGCAGGACGGCCCGCGAGACTGTCCAGAGTGCCGGGGGGGGGGGGGGGGAGGGGGGGCAGGTTGGTCCGTGGCCTTTTTGGCTCAAGATTTATTATTTGGTGCGCCAGCTCTTCTGCGAAGGCGACCACCCTGCCATCAATACCTCGGCCATCGAGCGCGCGGAGTCGGTCGGGCGAGGCGAGCGGGTCGGAGTCAGTTCCTGTCCAGGACGCTCGCCCCAGCGCTCGCCTTGGCGAGCGGCGGGCGGCGCCGCCGCGGGGCTCCTGCTCCTGGCCGGCGCAGGCGGGGGGCGGCGCACCTTGCGCTGCGCGGGGCGGCCTCGAGCGTGGGCCCCCGCGAGAGCAAGCAGCAGACGATCGCCTTTCCCGCGCGCGACCAGTGCTCCAACTGGGACGAGGATTGCTACAGCAAGGGGTGCTGCAACGTTGCGGGCCTGACGTGCTTCGAGACCAAGCCAGGGAAGGGCGAATGCCTGAAGAATTGCACGCCCAGCGATTCCAAGCTCTGCAATCAGCCGCAAGCGATCATGGAGCCGGTCTTGGCGGATGCTGTCCTGTACGACCCGACGCTGTATTGTTTCGCAATCGTTATGCAGGACATCGGCAGCACGAAGAAGTACTACGACCTGGAGCTTCTCCAGGGAGCGTATGCGAAGGGGACCACCATCTTTGGTTGTGATTCTTGGGGGGTGTTCAGCGACGCAGACGCCGAGCTTGCGCCTGGCGTTCCTATCACGAAGGTGGATGACGTCGACGGAGACTTCCACTTCGCGAAGAGGGAGGAGACCGGCACCTGGCTGAACACAGGCCTGCACTACCAGGCCTGGAAGGCCATTCAGGCGGAGGGCAAGTACGCCACTGCCAACTGGGTCGTGAAGCTCGATGCGGACGCGGTGATGATCCCGAGCCGTCTGAAGTACTGGTTGTCAGACAAGTACGTCCCGCCCGCGGGCATCTACCTCGAAAATTGCCAGTACGTCAAGTATGGTTGGTTCGGCAGCCTGGAGATCTTCTCGAAGGCCGCGTTCGAGACACTCCTGGGGTCGATGGCCTCGTGCAAGAACGGTGGGATCGACTGGAAGGTGGGCGTAGATGGCGGCAAGTACGGGCCCATGGGCGAGGATTTGTTTGCGCAGACCTGCCTGGACGCGAACGGCGTCAAGCGCGGGATCGGATACGGCTCCAAGCTGGACGGGACGTGCGAGGCGGACAGGCCCCTCTCGGAAAAGAAGAACAAGAAGTGGAAGCCCAATTGCGACACCGTCGCCACCACAACATACCACCCGTTCATGAAGCCAGAGGATTATTGGGCGTGCTACGAGGCCACCATGAAGGCGTTCCCGGTGTACCCGCCGCCTCCTGCCCCCTGATCTCGACGGCGCCCCTCTGGCGTTTCGTGGCCCTCCGCCCCTCGCGACGGCCGCCTTGCCTGCCCGCCGTTGCCTGCCTCCCCATTGGGACGGTGCGGTGTGGCGAATTCGTCAGCGGACTGTCGGGCGATCTCGCTCACTCCTACCCGCGACGTGAAGACGTCGCGAAGTCGAGCCGGGCGCGTGTGCGCCCGTGCGAGAGTGAAAGGAGGCCTTGCCCGACGCTCTTCTGTCCCCGCAGCCGCGCCCAAATCAGCACGGCGGCGCGCCCATTTTGACAGTAACGTCACGAGGTCGAGAGTCGAGCCGATTTCGCGGGCTCCTGTGCGAAGTGCGCAGAGGCTTGAGCAGTGGCTGAGCTCTAGACGTCTGATGTCAGTTCGGTTTTTAGGGCGATTGAGTTTCGAACCCTGTGTGAGTATGCGTCCCATTCCACCGGACGCATTGTTTGTCCATCACGCCCTCCACCCTGTTGTCCGTGCCGCCAGGGCATGTCCAGTGCTAGCTCGATGTTGCCCGTTCCTCTTGCCCTCTCCCCGTCCGTCGCCGTGCAGCACAGGCTGCACTTCTCGGGCTGCACTTGCCGGGAGGCGTCCCCTCCCCAGGCCGCCCCAGCCGCCGAGACTGGCCCTGCCGGTGCCCCGGCGGGCTTGCCGAGGCCGGCCCCGAGGGTGCTCCGGCGGACCTGGGTGGCCCAAAAAGATGGC